CCTGGCGGGGTCGAGGGGCGGAGCCCCCGTGGGGTCCAGGAGCGAAGCCCCCGTGGGGTTCAGGGGCGAAGCCCCGGTGGGGCCCAGGGGCGAAGCCCCGGCGGGGGGGCCTGGGGGGGGGGCGAAGCCCCCTCCCACTCCTCACATACCACATTAAATGAAAATTTGAGAAAAGAAAAGACGATTTTAATTTCATGGGGAATCGAACCCTTAACCCTTTTATATGTCATAATAAATAAAGAAATTTTTTTCTAAAATGCATTTTGTAAATTATTAAAATTAGGATTTTTAAATATTTATTATTAAGAATTAAATATTAGAATTTTTCTTGGCGATAATTTTTCCGGGGATATTTTTTCCGGGGATATTTTTTACGGGGATATTTTTTCCGGGATTTTTTTTCCGGGATATTTTTTCCGGGGATGTTTTTTCAGGGATTCCATTTGGATGCCCAGTTATTAACGGCTCAATATCCTCGACGCTATTTTGGTAACTCTGGAAAATTTGATAGTGTGGAAACTACTAAAGGAAAGAGAAGAATTTGAGAAGTTAATCCCTGCTATTGAAACGTTTGAAAGACTAACGGTGAGCGGTGGAAAATTTGTTGTAGAAAGGTTGTTACATTGATAAATTTTGAATTTATAAATTTTGCTAAATATATTGAACTCATCGTTCATAGCATATGACACCATTTTCATATGTTTCAAGCATCTTGAATTGCCTTGGCTCGTTCTATAGTCATTATAATTCAAATAAAGTTGCGATTTGCTAACTCGTATTATTATTGGAGTTTATATTTTTTTCCTTTTAAATGTTTGTGGTTTAGCTATACTTAGAGCCAACTCTTGCCTTTCATAATTTGGTTTTTGATTCGAACTTTGATTTTTGGTCTTATTGTGCTCGTTGATATCGATTTTCTTTTCTTCTGCCATTATTGTAATCTCGAGGTCATTATTATTTTCCTCAAGGTTTCAATCTATTATTTTCGTGGCCTGTAAAACAACCCATACGTTTCGGAATCATTTGTCGAATATTATCTTTGAAATTAGAGCATTGAAAGTGGGATGGTAGCGTTTTTCCACGCTCTAGATTTGTGTTTTTGCTAGTAACCCTTCCGGTTACTGGCACGATCGTTTTTTCGGTAAATGTAGATACCTTTTCCATCCGAATTCTGACTTAGCAATATACTAGCTGTTAAACCGACCGATTATAAATTTTGTCTTTATTGTTTTTGACTCATTTTGACTCATTATTTCTGACGAGTCATTTTATAACTTGACTTGTGGTTAGGGAATTTCTCAAATTATCTGTTGGTGACTGTGTAACTTAATTTATTGTTTGCGTTAACGAGCATAGCGTGATCTTTTGATTTGAGAATAAGTCGAGGATTTTGAATCATTTTGTTTTATTATTAGAATTTAAATATTATTCAATGATTTTGTTACCCCGCAAATATTGGGGCGATTTTGATTGAAATAACCAAACCATTTCAAAATTTTAGGACAATATTCAGAGGCCTGCCGTTGTCGTACTGACTGGTCGGCAACTGTCCTCACTGATATTATTTAATTTGGATGTTTGGCCGTTTTAATAAAAACGTCCTGCGGCCTGACATGTGTCCTATTGAGTTTTTCCCGGTGGGGAAGGGGGGGGGGGGTGAGTTCTGCGTATATTCGTCTCTTCTTCCTCGAAGGGTAAAATACATCACGAACCATACCGATTACAAGGGTCCTCCTACGATCATAGTGGGGACAGTAATGGGGGGGCTCAAAGTGGTATGATTGGGGAACGTCTCATGAAGCATCCACCAAATGGGGGATTTAGAAAAATAGCCGCCACGATTAATAAACAAAGAAATTACAAAGTCCAAACCCCGACAAAAATATTTATGAATATGATGGTGTGACAATTCATTCAAATTCTTTCGCATGTTCCGTTGAAATGTGACGTGAATTTAGAAGAAGAAAATGAATGATGTTGTCACCTATGTGAATTAATGAAATCGTATTGAGTGAGTTTTTGTCATGATGTATTTTTGCCCACTCTTGCCCAGCATTTTGAAAGATATCAATAATTGATAGAGTGAGCATTAATTCCAATGTGTAATTTTGGCTGTTCAACTTTCGCCAGAGTGGATTAGTCAAGCTTAAAACTGTGACAGGAGTTATTGTTTTTCCCTTCGCGTCGCCATAATTTTCCCTGTTCTCGGGGATCTCGCGAGCTGCGACAAGGAAACATTTAATTTATTTGTCGAAAATTTATCCACCTATCATATTCAAATATTTCCATTTAATTCACGCTTCTAATTTGAATCGTGCCGACACTTGAGAGCATGACCCTG